AAGTAGTAAAATTAAAAAAATAAAAATGATTTTATAAATATCTTTATAAAAATTATATTAAATTATAAAGAATAAGTTTTTTCTTATATGAAACATACATCGGTTAGAAATGTTTGTCAATTATCAAATATAATATAAAAATTTGGTAAGTAAGTTCAGAATAAATTAGAATCATAAGTAATAGTAAAAATGTAATAAAATAGTTTCTTAAAATAAGTCTAATAATTATGTTTTTCTTTTTAACTCAAAATATGTGTATTTTACTTCTTGATATATATGTAGTATTTTTGTTATTAAAATATTAATTTTTAAATAAGTTTCTTTGATGCTATCTCTTACTTTATAATACACAATACTAAATTTTTATTCAAATGAAAATATCTAGCTTTATTCAATACATTTCTATGTTTACTATTAAAAAAATAAAAATTAAATAATTATTTGGAATAATTATAAATATGTCGGTTTTGAAATCAACTTTGTGAGAGTGTCTAAAATTTTATTTAGTTGCAAGATAAGCTAAGTTCCATAAAATACTATAATATATTTAATTATGATCTTAAGCATAATTAGTGCACTTGTTGATATATGGTACAATTGGACATGTCTCTAAGTACCACAATTCATCCATCTTATGAATGTACAATTGCTTGTTTTGGTCCCAATGTTCTTTAAGAACATCTGAGCACCAAAGTTCTATCAAAGGTATAAAGAGGCCAATGCATTGTCTCATTGGTTCATGTATTGTCAATTCTTTTGTTATTTAATATTACACAAGTAATTTTTGTAAAGCATAATTTAACACTTTGTCTTGTAGCTTCTTAAAGAAGTTGACTTGGATAGTAGAAAGGATGTAAATTTGTTTGAAGGATGTAGTTGTAGTAATTTCATTTGTCTACTCTTTCACATTAAGAATTAACTTTTTATGAACTTACAAAGATTTTCTACTAAACTGTGAAAGCAATGTTTTTTTTATATAGCATGGACACCTTCCACATTCAATGTAACGTAATTTCTTAAGTAGAAGTATTGATTGGTCTATGTTCTCACAAAGCACCCCTTATAAGCAAGTCAGATTTCTTTAAAATACCACAAAATAATCAACATTTGTTTCTAATATTTCTACAATCCATCTTCACATAAGTTGAAGTCATCTTTGGCCTTTGATAGAACAACTCTTGTCTATTTATATAAGAACTTTGTTCACACTTTGCATCTTTTAAGCATAGGCTTATAACTTTTTTCAATTTTTTTCTATATGCTAAGCACATAATATGTTATGTACACTTAAAAATACACCTTCAATGTCAAACATGAATTTCAGTTTACAATATGTTACAATGAAAGTTATTTTTGGGATTCAAATGAAGAGGTTGGAAATACATTTACAAGTCCATACATAGTTGACATTCTTCTTTGCTTCTAAGAATACAAAGCATACAAAAAGGAGGTGTTGAATGTGGTCACGCTAATGACACTAAAGAGAGATATCTAGAAGCAATTAATTATGTATGTACAGTCTATAAGTATGATGAATTGATAGATCAGCACGAATTTAATTGATTTGGAATGCAACACAAGTAGATGAGTTGTGTAACCATCTACATCACAAGCATATTATGACTAGAAATTTCTTTCTTTGAGTTTGTCTAAAAGAACTTAAATAGGTGTAAAATCATTAATATAGTGATATATTTGTTTATCCCATACATTTTAAATTGTTTACAAGATGATTTCAATATGGAATACCTTAACAAATGATTAATATAATTTTTAAAAAAAAAGTGATTTCACAGAAATTATCTTGTTAATTTAATGATGTTCTTCTTCTCTCAATTGCTTATAAAATAGATGACCGTGCATGTCTCTTGATTTGAGGTGGTTAAATTTTACATTTTTTATCCATAGAATCTACAAGCCATTTGGCCCCTTCCAAAAACTCATCTCAAATAGGCATCCAATTAGCTTTGATTTTATTTGCCTCCAGCACTTCAAATTGGCTATTGTCAATCTACTACAATACTCTCTATGCAAATCATGTCCAAATTATATCCTCAACTCTTTCACAAATTGTTTAATTTCCATGTGATAATCTTGTCCAAAGGTAAAAGAGTGATTGCATTGAAAGAGCTTGGTGCAAGTTATAAATCATTTGTTAAGAAGGGGTGGCATCATTGGAATGTCTTTAAGAAATTTATAAAGTTGTTGCAGCGTAGGTAAGGATATTACAAACTTAGGAGAAAGTAGAATTAACTGTTCGTAGATCTGAAAGTTGATATGAGGTTATCCAGACAATTCCTTACAATTGAAAACAAATTAAATTGGGTAAATTGCAAGTGTATGATGGTTGTGCAAGTAGCAAGACATAATAGATCTTGTTACTTATATATCTTACAATCTTATCCTTATCAAATTAGGTGTATGAACTTAGTATTGAGTGCATAAAGCAAACATGTTTTGGTAGTACAAACAATACAAGTGCTTGTGTGGATTTATAAAGGTAAGAAAATAGATATATTTGGCAAAGATCCACAATTCCTAGACTTGCAATGTAAATGAAGAGAAGAATTGCAATGAGACTACAAAATTCCGCCTATGTAGCAATAGCAAATCGAAGGTATGTTTTATTATTTTTTGCATGTGTCTTACATGCACTTATGAATTTTTAGTTTTTTTTAGTTTTTTTTTTTTTTTTTTTTTTTTTTTTTTGTAATTTTCAAGACATATGCAATAATTCTACAATATATCAATAGTTTCATTTTTTTTTTTTTCTAATTATATTTTACTACCTACGTTTTTTTTAAAAAAAATATTATAGCATTTTAATGTATGGTTTAAATTTTGTTCAGTGAAGAATTTCTTTTTAAAAGAAGAGCTCATTTGTACCTGATTTTTTTAAAGTTTTTTATTTTATCAAAAAATATAATGGATTCTATATTTCCCTGTGTGTTCATGCTATTAAAAAATGAAATGGGATTCTAAAATAACACTTTAGATTTGTTGTATTTTAAAATAAAATAAAATAACTAAAAAACAGTAATAATCCCATAAACTGTATTATCACAAACTTAAGTTGCCATTAAATATTTCACATAGAAATGTTGGTGAGAAAAAATGAATCAACAAATTAGTACTGAATTAGAACAACAAGTTTGTATAATTTATTTGAAGGGTTTGAAAAACTAAAAAGATATGACTTCTTCCTAATCTTTTGAGTTAGAAAAAGCATTATATTAATATTTATGCAATGCTTTACTAGGGAATACATGTGTATATATACATATATATTACTTGCTACAAGTAAGACAATAAGTGATTTTTTAATTTAAAAACTGTAAATTGATACTTCTTAAGTGTTTAAAAATGGGGGAGATGGTGAAGAATCTAAAAAGTACTACAGAAGTATGTACAAAAAAAAGTATGTACAAAAAGAAAACCAAACTCTGCTTCAAACCTGTTACAGTTTCTAGACCTCAATGCTTCCCATCATGGCCTGTGGCAACAGGGAGGCCCATACTGTCTGATATTCTCCTCAGTATCAATTAATTGCTGCAGTGGATGGAAACCGCCTTCATCTTAACTGTATTTATGAGATTCAAAAGAATCTAGATACTCGAAGCGTCAATCCAATATGCTGCAAAGAGTACAAGTTTCCTGGGGCACTGGTGCTCAACTGAAACCTGATCCATTCGGGTTGAATGGCACCCTCGAAGTCTAGCATAGTGGACACCTAATCAGTGTCGAAGCGACGGTTTTATCAAGTAAAATCGCAGCTGAAATTTGTCCAACATCAGGGGCTCACAAAGAGTTTGATACTGTTTGATACTTGCTGACTAGCAGGTACCCAATACAAGAATCTGTTGTTTCGTCACAGAACGAGACAAAACAAGAGCTGGAATTCAAACCTGTCTAGAAACTGTAACAGACAATTCGAAGAAATGTCTGCCTACAGAAATGTCTAGAATCCACATCGTCTTCTTCGTCTGAAGGATAGAACTTCATCACAAGAGAATGATCAGAATTGACATTGAAGAAACTGAGTAAACCAAGAAGGTGGGGGCTTCATGACTTCAATCCTCGGACCAGAGAGTACACTTCAATCAAACGGAGAGACAGTGACGACAATCCCACAAAGACCCACTCACTTACGAAAGCCTTCTACCACAAAGGTCTTTAGCCGTCGCTCTACAAAACTGTAAACTTGCAGCTCAACATCCGGATTCAACAAACTGAAATCCCTTCAAAAAAGAAACCTTGCAAAACGAACTGGACTGAATTAAGAATAATGAAAGCCTAGAAGCACACGCACCACAAGAAAACTATACTATGTCAATAATTTAACATTGTCGGTCTTCTCCATTCCTGCTCCAGAAATAATTGTGTTAGAAACAAACACAGCTGTACATCATCTACGGTAAAGTAAAAAAAAGATTCATTATTTGTCTTCTTCCATCGTCAAATCTGCACAGTAGAGCTTTGCACTGAAAAAGGGACGCATTTAGATTTTGAGACAAGCAAACATTCTACGGAACGAAAACCCAGTTCTTCTTAAGAGAGTAAATCTGCTAACTGGCACTGCCTCTTAGATATCCAGAGGTATCATCACCCTGGACATATCAGTGATCTTCACATTCCTGAGGTACAGATCGAATCGGAGATACAGATATCCTTCGTCAGGAGCTGATCAGCAACAATTGATTATGAAGAATTGGGAAAACAGCTTTAAGAAACTATGGTCGACCTGTTTCAGCTTACCTCCGGGATGATGCACAGCTGGATGGTGTACACCCTACCCAGACAACAGCTTCCGCAGCTCATTTTCGAGACTGTAGGAGTGAGCCATGACTAGATGTGCCGCAAGTTGATTCATCCAAATAATATGCCAGTCATGATCTATAAGAACAATTCAACAAGATGAACGACCGCCATCTCTTCGAAGATGGTTACAACAAAAGCCGATTTGGACACAGTAACAATTTCACTGAAAGGAGACCATCGTGTCACGGGAAGCACAGGGGCAAGCCTCTGCATTCATTAAATAGAGATAGAGACAAACTACAATTTCAGCCGGCTCAACCTGTGGTATCTAATCTAGCCTAGCCTATCCTATAATGGGGGTGATTTAGTGTAAACATACAGCTCAACAAAAATCAACCTACTGTCTAGCACTTCTGATAAAAAATAAAAAATAAAAAGTAGTTGGAATCTTCAGTGCTTGAAGCGCACCTGGTCTCTCAGAAGACAGAGCACTACAGTCCACGGTCTACACTTGCCATGGCAAAAAGCCACGATCTATCATAGCGAGGTACATTCCCCGCAAGACTTGTGGGATAATGATCTACCTCCCACATGTCATGACGTATTCAAACTCACTGATATGCACAGTTTCCGGTGCTGCTGCGTACCTGTCCTACAAAATCAGAAACTAAACTCTCAAACCTCAGGGTGTATTCACAGGGTATACTTTACAACGCGTAGCTGGGAGGCTACGCTACAGGATTAGGGCCGCAGTCAGGAGACGCACGTCACAGCAAAACCGTCGTTGATCGACGTTACAAAACAATAATTAGTAATCTTGTAGTGGTTGACGTTCATTGGAAACTCAAAGCGTCGGAAGCTTGCAAATCAACCCAGGATTGTGAAACATCCTCATACGTGTGAGGAAAGCAGTTGTTCGACGGGCACCGCTCATCGTCTGTGGTGCTACTCGCATTCGGGGAAAGATTAGTGTGCGTCGAGGACTGGTTTTCGTCCCATGAGGTGTGAGGCACCAGTCTATCGTTCATCACCGGCCGGCTGTGCATCAAGGCCGCTTCCCAGGACCCAGGCTTCACATTGTGCGGGAACATGATAGCATTCATATGGTTGATTGGGTTCATCCGTTCCACATATCCGCTGCGATGTTGTAACTGTGAACTCATCGACGGCTTAGATTGCTTATCCTGCCAAGAACTTTGGACTTGCGTTGTACCGTTAAGTGATGGTAGTTGTTGTGCTGCGACGGTCCACAAGCCCGTCTTCGCCATCACTGAAGGAAGCGTATCTGAGTGACTCGGCGCATGCAAGGTCGGCAGTGTAACACCACTGTTCAACATCAACGATGAGGAGCTGTTAAAGATGGATGAATTCACTTGAGGAGCCTGCGAAGCTTGAGTATCGTAGAGTGATTGAATGTCGGGAACCTCTTGAAGCCCAGCGAGAGGCTTCTGCACCGAAGGGTGCAACCCCTGGGTATACTCCAAAGCAAACTGCAAGTATGGAAGTGGCGGAACAGCGGGTGCGAATCCGGAAGTCTGGTTACCGAATCCCAGCATCCCTCCAGTCGGAGGTAACATAGAGAGCTGCTGCATGCAAGCGCTAGAACTCAGCAAATCTCCTCCTGAGCCAAACAGAGACCCCACTGGGCTCGTTTGCGGCGTCCCACCAAGGAGATACGTGTCATTGCGGTTGCGAGTCCGAATCTTCTTGCGAGACCCTCCTCCAACTGGAACATTTCGTAGAGTTCCCCCAACAGTCCAGTACCGTTGACAGTTTCGGCAGAAGTGCCTTGGTTGGTTAACACTATAATTGTTGTAGTAGCAAAACTTGGTGTTCATGGATTGACATCTAGGACATGGGATCACCTTCACGGGCCTAGAGCGGATGCAACCGCCATTCCCCCTGCTGCTCCCAGGGGAATCCCCTCCACCTGATCCTGACCCGGAGCTCGCGATCCGGGCGTCAAGCTCCTCGTTAGAATCGTCCTCAAAATCTCCCAGTAGTATCTGGTGATTCACCGGTAGATGCATGGTTGCCAACTATATTCAGCAGAGTCCAACAGTCTTTTCCTACCACCCAAATGCCCTTGCTCACAAGTATCTCTTCACATACCACACACAAACAGTCTACTCCATCCTCAACTCTACTGCCTTTCACCCTCAATCTTTCGAAAAAAACCTTGAAAAACTGTCGATCCTGATTTCACACTAACACACACACGCACACACACACACCATCCCCTGGCAAAACCGCTAAAAACTGCTCCAGATCGAATGAGAGCGGCAGACTCTGAATAGCCGAATGTGGAACCTTCCGTTCAGTCAAAACACATCCTCTCAAAAAGGCACTCAAGCATCTCTCCTCCCAGGGCAATCTCTCCTCTGCAGACAATGCTCTAAGGCCCTGTTTGAAAAATCAGATCTGCTGCAACGAATACATCCTACAGACGAGATGAGACGGTGTTGAAAAGAGTCGCTGCTGTTGTTGCATGGAAGAACTTGCACACTTGCACTCTGCTATGTAGTAGCACTGGCCTCTTCCGAACACTGAGGAGCGTCTGTCAACTTAATCTGCCCCAGCCCGAACTCTTTTCGTTGAGTGTCTGAAGTATCAGATGTGGTGTGTTTATCTATTAGGCTCTGCCGGCTAAACAAAGCCCACGGTCTGCTTGCTATTCCAACCTCTGAGACCGTCATTGAAAAAGGGAATTGAAATCACCACCAGGGATTCTCTCACCACTCAGGCACCGAAGGACCAACCACGGCGCTCGTCCAAATCAAGCACATGGGTGAAAATGGAATCCATCCGCATCCTCAACCGAGACCTCCTCTGCTTCGTCCATCCGAGAAACGCTGCCATTCTACATCCTCCGCACAGGCATGCAGCAGCAAGCCATGCATCCAAATATCTCCACACCTCACCTGGAAATTACCTTTACCTCCCGTACAATTCGGCTGATCCGTGACCACAACTTCTTACGATCCAAGCTCAAGTTGTGAATACTCTGCCGAACCAACTCAAACCTTCCCCTACTTTCATTCCTAACCTTCCCAGCCATCGACCGAAAGCTTCAACAAGCTGTGCCGATGGGGTCCCCACCTACAGCAACTAGAGACGGAGGCGACGTGGATGCATCCTGGACGTGTTAACGACGGGCAAATTTTTCGATCACTTCCTCCTAAATTCGAGGCCGGTGCTGCCCTAACCTATGCAGGCTATTGAGAGCTCGCAGCTGGCGGGAGTGGAGGCTTAGGCTCTCCTGTCTGGCACTCGCAGCACAGAAGCACCTCGCCAGACTTGGTGGCCCAATCACGCCTCTCCAATTCTGCGTCGTTGAAACTATCTCAGGAATATTTTTAGCGTGGCAGCCTGGGAGGGATTGTCAAATTACGGGGAATTCCCTGGAGTGAAGTCCTTTATCGTGAAGGGAATTCCTACCATCTCAGACCATGAGGCCTGCATCTCCACCTCCAGAGAAGCATTTATTATAGTGTCTGAAGGAAGCCTTATACGTAGGCTAGACGGTGGAAAAATAGCATCTGCTTATAGGTATGTCTGGAGGGTGCTGCCAGAAGGGTACTTTTTCTCAAGTGTGTTTTACAGATCGTGGCTAATTATAGGATAAGAAGATTGATGCGGGGTAGACTTGTGTCGATTAGCAGCATTGGGATGAGAGAGAGAGAGAGAGAGAGAGAGAGCTTTTGCAGTTATTTATGTTGTGAGCTTTTGCAGTTATTTATGTTGTGAGCTTTTGACAGGAAGAAAGTGCTGAAACGCGGAAGCAGGCACGGGTTTAAGCAAACTATTCGGACGAAGTGAGAGGCTCGATGACGCTCCGGCTAGCTCCTCCGCGCAGGCGCGAGGTTCACTGCGAGCAAGTGCAAATAACACACATCGAGTCAGGGATAGTTTGTTAGGTCCAATCTTTAGATTTCGTTACACTTTTATAAGGATTAGGTAACCTTCTCACCGCATACTGCACTTGTAAGTTACCAACATAAGGTGGGACTTCTACAGGGTTTAGGGTTTATGGTGACATTTTGAGAAGGGCAACTGTTCCAGAACTAAGCAGCAGCATTTATTCAGGCGCTCGAAGGCGCGGCGGTGATATGGAAAGGGAGACATGGCGGCTTCCTCGTCCTATGCCGCCGCAGTGAAAAGTAGACTGGCACACACACCAGTCTCATCCACTACGTTGGAAGCAAGACGGCAAGCGGAACGCCCGTGGAGAGAGGAGAGGATGGAGCCAGAATTGGTCGCCGCGGCTACACAGATGGGGCGACACGCAGCCATCCACTCGACGCGAGCAGAGCCAAGTGAGATTATTCCTGAAGGGTTATTTCGGAGTAGCAAGGGGTTTTTGATGTAGAAGCGAGTGGTATGCGTAACACTTAATGAATTGAAGGTCAAACAAGAGATGGATTACCACCAGAAGAGAGTGGTAATCGCATACTTCGTGGGAGGCAAGCAACTGCCTAAATCCGTGCAAGAGTGGCTGATCAACATCACCAAAGATTAATCTAGATTAAAAATTTGGTTAACAAGTTAGTCACGTATTATATGTGTTGGTAGCTTGTAGAATAAGCTAATTATATGGTGCTCATATAAAAAACTTGCCTTACAAGTTAAAACATATATTTTGTAATTTGAACATCTATTGAAGGTCCTAAAGAATATTACCATATAGCTCTTAGTTAGATAATATAAAGAGAGGCAAGAGTAAAATCTTCTTTATTCTTGTTAACACCTTATTTGTTCTTAGTCTGGTTTCAAGAGTCTATATTTTAGTATTTGGCAATAGTCATTATAGTCTTAATACTATTTAATTTAGGAGTAAATATTTATTCTTATTGAGTTACACAAGAATATTTTAAGTCTCTTGTATTTAATTATGTGCTTGATAGTTTGACAAGAGTGCTAATTCATTGTTTTAATCTTGTTTTAGAAGTGAGTGGATTACTCCATTTCTATTGTTGCATTTTGAAGGTTGTAGACTAACCATCTTTAAACAAATAATTTAGTTTTTTAATACTATTTTTTTTTTTAAAGAAAAGACATTACCTCTCTTTGTAGAAATTTTCATTTGACATTAGAAATTGTGGATTACCTTCTTATAATTTGCACCATTGATAGAAAAAAATTCACAATTCTTTAAAAATTTGAATTCATTTTCAAAAATATTTATGGCCATATTTAGAAAAAGTGATCAAAAAAGAGTAACAGAGACCAAGTTCTTATCTATACTATAAGGATCATGGTCAATCAACATAAATGCTACTAAATTTTAAAATCTTATTTATGATATAGATTGGAATGACAAAGTTCTTATCAATCAATTTTGATATGAATTGAAGAATAACATCAAAGATTTGACATTAATAATGTCAACAGCAGATTATTTGAAATAAATTATTGCTCAAGCTATTGCATACAACAATCTAGTCTTTGAAAGGCATTAAAGACAAAGATTTGGTTAAAGAAGAATAATTCAAGTAATAATGACAACTCCTAAGTTTTTAAAAACTTATTCATCAAAGTCAAAATCAATGCAAATTAATATATTATATTTTAAATCCTTAATAGAGTAGAAAAAGATTTGACTTCAAGAAGGGAGTTTGTGCTTATATTATGGAAAAGCTAAATACATTTCTTGAAATTATTGAAGTAAGCAATACAATCAAAAAATAAAATGCAAGGTTTCCAAAAAAGACAATATGTCAAAAATAAGTTTTTTCAACTATAATAGGGATTGTGCAGTAAGAATTATGTACCAAATCTAGTAAAGGTCTTATTTTCTTTTTAGATCCTTCATCTTGTTTTATAATAGATGTGTATTTAAGACCTAAAAATTACAAAGTCTTTGCCTTATGAGATTCAAAAGCCTTAGCTTAGTTTATAGATGAAGGCTTTATCAAAAAATAAAAAATATCTTTAATCAAGAAAACTAAACTTGTATATGTACAAGTCATAGATGGTTGTTTATTGTCTTTTAGAAATGTTATCCATGAATTTATTCTTTTAGATGTAAGAATTAAAGATCATAATAGCATAGTAATATTTAATGTGATAAGATCTCTCTCCAACCCGATTATTTTAAGATTATTGTAGTTAAAAATATATAATCCTCAAATAGACTAGATTTCTTGTAACCTTAATTTTTTTTGTAGTTTAATCTAAAATTTTATTACTTAAGTAGAAATACATAAGTCTAGTATATCCAAAATCTTTATTAATAGATATCATAGATATACATATTTATTATGATATTTATCTACATGATTAAATAAAAATAGATAAAAGTAGATTTCTTTTATAATATTTTTTAAAAAAATCTTTCTAGAAGCTTCATAGATGATATTTTGACTTTATATGTATTTAAAGTTGATTGGTAGTTTACAAAATAAGCTAATTATGTGGTGTATATATAAAAAACTTATCTTACAAGTTAAGATACATATCTTGCAAAATCAACATGTTTTGAAGGTCTTAGGATCATGTCTTTGATAATTTGACAAGAGTGCTAACTAATTATTCTTGTCTTATTTTAAAAGCAAATAAATTAACTCACTTCTATTATTATATTTTGAAGTTTTTAGATTACCTACCTTTAAACAAACTATTTAGTTTTCTAACACTCATTTTTTTTTTTTTTTTTTTTTTTCCTTAAAAAAAGTTGATTATTCTTCTTTGTGGAAATTTTTATTTGATATTAAAGATTGTAGATCACCCTCATCTAATTTGACTTGTAGATTGAATAACTTATTTGAAATGGAGGAAAAAATCATCAATGCTATACTTAGTAGAAGTGAGAATAGATTTGCAACTATTGCAGATCTTTATGAACTTGTGAATACTCTTAGAATGGAAATTTCATGCATCAAAATTGCAACCACGAAAACACTAATCCTATGCATATGGAAGAAATTTAGAACTTATGACAAGAAATTTTACAGTTGAAGGAAGCAAGTAAATTGACTTCATAACCAAATTTAGGAAGTTTTGCTTCTATAAGTATAATGGGAACATGGATTAATATATTGGATAAGTTTAATGGAATGAGATAAAAATTTTGAAGATTTTTGCAACAAGTCAAGCTCTATTTAAGATTGCATCTCTTCCAATATCCTAATGGATTTATTGAAGTTGGGTTTGTAGGCGCACTTCTATCTAGAAGTACTCTCTCTTAGTTTGCACCTTTAATAGAAAAGAATTTATAACTCTTTTATGATTTGAATTTATTCTTAGAATTATTTATGGCTATATTTGAAAAAAGTGATCAAAAAAGAATAACAAAGACGAAGCTCTTATCTTTAAGGTAAACATCACAATCAACCACTATATATGTTGCTGAATTCTAAAATATTGCTTCCAACATGGATTAGAATGACAAAGCCCTTATTAATCAATTTTAATATGGATTGAAAGATAATGTCAAAGATTTGTTATTGATAATGTTAAAGGTAGAATCCTTAAAATAATTTATTGCTTAAGCCATTGTTTGCAACAATCAATTATTTGAAAGGTGTCAAGAATAAAGACTTGCTTAGAGAAGAATAAGTCAAGTAATGACACTAGTTCCAAATTTTTCAGAAACTTATTCATTAAGGCGAAAACTAATGTAGATTGATATAATACGTTTTAAATCCCTTGAGTAGCACGAAAAGATTTGACATCTTCAAGAGGATATGTGATTATATAGTAGAAAAGCTAAGTATAATACTAAATATTATTCAAAGAAGCATCACAATCACAAAATCAAGAGCTCAATTGCCAAAGAAGACAATATATTAGAAAATAAGTTTCTCAAATTACAAGAAAGACCATACAACTGGAATCATGTACAACACCTCGTAAAGGTCTTATTCTCTCCTCATATCCTTTACCATGTTTTAAAATAGATATATATTTAGGACCTTAAAATCACAAAGCCTTTGCATTATTAGATTCAAAAACTTGAGCCCATTTTATAGACAAAGATTTTGTCAAA